ATGTCTTTATCAGACTTATTAATTTGAAGGTCACATATAAAAATAACTCAAAATATTTTGATAAAAATTTATTTTAGGAAGGTTCTTGATGGAGAAAAGAAGAACTTTACATTTTCAAGCACGTAATATGAATGCATGTTACAACACATAGTTTCAGATCCTTCGCTCAAAAGCTGGATAGTTATCGAGTCCCTAGGACGAGGCTACGACACGGGGCTATTTAGCTGCATCCATTGAGGACAGTAATTGGAGCCATTGTGCACTTGACGGAACCAATCATTGCACTTAACCTGGCCAATCTATATCCAATCGGATCCTCGGCTCGTACCATCGTCAGCTTCTAAGGTATTAGCCGATGATACACCGGCGGATCTTTAATTGTGGTATGCAGTGGAGACAATGGAGCTAAATGTGCAACTATATGCTTTTACCACTCTATGACGCTGTCTTGCTATCGTGGGCAAATTATAGCTATAGTTATTATAGCAATAGGTGTAATTAAATACTGTATCGTAACGAGGTATTTTGATTATGATAAGTTTATGAAAAGGTATCTGTATTCATGCAAATCTCGTATATCACTATTTTTTATAGCGTCGGAAGTTCCGCTACCCAAGAAAAGTGAGGCCGACGTTTTTTCTCAATTTTTAAAAAAAAATTTTATTAAACATTTTTGTGTTAACGATATTATGTTTATGTTTCTATAAGGTTTTCCATCATTCTTGGTCTTGCTAGTATTCATTTTGAAACCCTCTTGTACATATTATGGGTGGGATATCGAAGGCTATATTGGCATCGATATTAATATCGGCCTATATCTATCGATAGCATCAAAATAGCTGACTTGAAATATCGATATATTTTTATCGATGTTGCAAACAGTTGTGAAATATGAATATGAATATTTAATAGTAAAACTGACACGAAGGATCTTGGAACACATTCCTCAAATATATTAAACGAAATTCAAATACAATATAATTAATAAATATAATGAAACCAACAAACAAACAATCCATATAAGACGAAATAATAGATATTAAGCTCAAAGTACGAAGTTAAATTCAAGTACTTCATAAAGCAAACCAATTTTTAGGTAATATTTATGTTAAAAATGAAAAATATGACACTGAGGGAGAATCGCACAAAACAAATACGTAAAAATAAGAGTAAATCATAATAATTTTAACCTTTTAATAACATATATCTAGAAATATAAATGTCAACTTTATTCTGGGACAACGTCCCTTAACGATAACAATATTCTTCATACATATTAGTACATCTGGCCAAAATATTTGTTACATATAATTATAACTGAAACAAAAGTTATAAAATATGTACATATACAGACAGGTTAATGAAATCAGTTGAGCAATAATATCAAAACATTGCAATATCGGTACATAAGAAAACTAAAATAAGAATGAGTAAATAAATAAAATTGGAGAGAAACATTAAATTAATTTTAAGAGTTTTCCAACCATTGTAGGGACAAAAAGAAAAAAAAAACTAAGTTTTTTATTATTATTGAAATTTACAACTGTATAATGATAAATACAACTAGTAAATATGAAATAAGTAACTTCACATGTACAACATGAAGAGAAACTACCCATTGGTAGCACTCCAATTATATTTCTATATTAGAAGGTTTCGAGGCCATCTTTTTTTCAGACGCCTCGGAGGGTTATCAGGAATAGAAGAGGAAGAAAGGTTGGAAACAAGAGGGTTCGGATGGTTCAGAATTTTATTATGGAAGGATAAGTATCTAGATTGAGCTAAATCGGAAACATATGGTACATTAAGATCTTTATTTGTGACAAAGTAGGGAGCATTGAGGATTTTCGAAGGATTTTGGATTGTAGGGATTGGATACGAGAGGAATTTGATGGTTTCTGAGCCCCAAAAACCATTTTGAGGAATTTGAGCCACAAAGCTCGATCCCGTAAGTCCGAATAGGCCTTATTATAGTAACATATATGAGTCTTTTGTAAATAGTTGGAAGTTGAGAGCGTTTGTCTAGTAAGTGCTGCAATAGTCGAAAACGTCGGGCGGTTTCTAGTCTTTTTAGTCTGGTATGGGAGTGAAAAAAAACTAAGTTAAAGAAAATAAATTATTTATATCAGCTACTTAAGATCTTTGAATGAATAGCCAGAATGGTATTGTAAACAAATAATATTCACTATATTCAAAAATGTGTATTAAGAGGAAAAAAATATACACATAACCATAATAAAAATTAGAGCCTTCTCAAATACATAGAATCTTGTAAATAGACAAAACAAATAGATTATAACAAACAATTTTTTTTCTTCACACAGTGCTATGTTAAAAGTATACATAATCTTTTCCAATTCATAAAACATAAATGAATAAAATGACGGTGTATAAAAAGTTAAAAAAAAAATAAATGAAACCATGTTACATAATAAATAATTATCAAGTGTCTGATATGATTGTGAAGAGGAATTATACTTCATTGCATTATCTATAATCATACTTGTAATAAATTGAATGATAATAGAATGCGGCAAGAAGTTTTGTTAATGGGAGAACTATTCATTTTAAGTTTCTTTGTTATTGTTTGAAGGAGTAAAACCTCCAGATCTCGAAACGTCAACATGTATAATATGTGACAGATATGCCAATTGTCAAAATTGTTTTCTTTGTAACCTCATGAAGTCATAAATAATGTGATATTGTGCAGTTTCCTTCTAATCCCGTACAAAACGGTCAGAAGACGCACCTCCTTCCTACAGCCCCTCCTCCCAGGCCGAGATAGGAGAGATGCTGATCCGGATAGAGACCAATGTATCTAGAAGAGCTAAGATAATGGAGAGTACGGAGAATACTGCAGTGGTGTAATCCCGGCAATGGTGCAACGCCCTTATCTTGCTCGGCTAAGCCTAATGATGTCTCCCGAGTAGGATCTCCGGCTGATAAACGTTACTGCCAGGGAAAACTCCGTCTATTCGGGGCCGGCAAAGGATGTGTGCTGCTCCTCCTGGGATCCTCTGTATCTTCCTTATCTCCTCCTCCTGTTTATTATAAACAATGATCCTGAGTTAATTATAACAGGAACCTTAAGGTAATATAATAAACTTAAGCCTTGTAAGTCTGTGAGAATTATTCGTTTACCATTTAAGGCTTCCATGAAATAACAACTACATTGAAAAATTTAAAATGCCAATCATTAATTTTTTTTTGGTCTTTTGAAAAGTGTGCTCTGAACTTCATGTAATGTACAGTCGTGGTCATAGAAATTGCATCACCAAGTAAAAAATGTTTTTTAGTTGCCAGATTGTTAGTGCAAGATCTCTGGATATTTCTTTGCTAATTTTTAAACGATCTTCTAAAACCAATCGCACCATTAAGCGGTTAAATTGTTCGTTTGTTATTTTCTCCTTCCAGTTTTTTTTCTTTCGCTCCATGGTTCATTTTTTTTTATTCAAAACTATAACTACCGTTTATTGGTGGTACCCTATCCTCGTTACTATTTCCCGTGAAAATTCCCTTACTTCATGTGACGTCACAATTTAAATGTTTTTTTTTTATACAGGTCATAATTACTGTTGTTATCCTGGAATTAGTTAAAAATGAAATGAAACGCATTTTTTTTTCTTCCTTATCCTCCATTAGAAATTTTAACCAACTACTGTGGAAGGGAACTGCCAGATTGGCACTATCGGCTATATTATGGGTGGCCTGTCGCTGAAACATGATCATGGTCCAACTCATGGAATTAGTTAAAATTGAACTGAAAAGCATTGTTTCTTGCAACCTTAATAAGCAAATAAAAACAAAAACATTCAATGGAATAAAGGTTATCAACATAAGAATCAGTTGAAATAAGTGATTTCTGTGACTGTGACTATATATTTGTGTGTGTGTAAGTTGCATACAAATGTGTTTTGTTCTTCTTTAAGTATTGTCCTTTATTTATAACAAGCTGTGTTTCTTGTAAACAACTGAACCATATGAACTCGTATGAAACGAATAGTTAGTTCATAGACCTACATAACATAAAAGAAAGATTTTTGTTTCTTTAATTTGTTGTTTTTTGTATTTAATTTTTATTATCATTGCTATCATTATTTGTAGTAGGAGAAGTTGGCTGACTGTGCATTCATAAGTGGAAGTACACAAAATTCTCTTCGGTCAAAAAAATATCTACCGTTATTTTATTAAGATAAGAGAAATCCTTCCACTTTACGATCCAGGTTGATCTTTTTGATTCTTCTGACGAGTATATTAAATGCTTAGGGCAAGATCTAGAATAATTAGCAACATCGAGTTTGGTGATTACTTGGATGGGACCCGATTTACGAGTTCCCCGTCCGCGTGGAATAACCATGCTGCCTGCAATCCTTCTGCTGAGTATTTTGGACGCAACTCATACCAACCTGGCTCAGGGGTATACGCGGAGTAAACTGAACTGTGTACATTCATCAGGATTCGCTTTGTGAATTTCTAGGATGTCAGTAGGCACCCAGAGATTTGGTCCTTGGATGGTCTGCTTTTTGGGGCGTTGTGGTGGAGCGGGCTAAAATTTTGCCCTTTTCCGGGAACTTGATGAATCGAAGAATATTAGGAGTTTAAATCCAGGCGCCGAAGTACTTTTAACTCTGAAATTAATCCAACAACCTCTCTCCTGCTCCGGAAAAAAACGCGTATAGCGTAAAGGACGAGGAGGGACAAAAAAAAAAAAAAGGTTTGTCAGTTTCAGTGAAAGATATATAGGTCTTCGTAAACTATTAAAATATTTTTGTTTCTTTTTTTATTTTGATGTAAGTGTGTTCGGTATTTAATATAGATTTGAGGTTTCTAAAAATATTATTCCTGCTTTTGAAACACAACGACTAAGAAGTAATAGAAATAATGTTGTCTCGTTTCTGAATACTATGAGCGCTAAATTTTACTATTTTAGTAACATAGTTTTATAAGTTACTATTTTCGTAAACAACTGCTAAAATTAACGCTCGTTTCGCCATTACCTCCCACACCCTAGGGCTCGCCTCGCTCCGGGAGGCCTGACTCAGATTTCCGTCCCGTTCTTCTGTTCGCCAATTGAACGGAATTGTCGACCAAGGACAGCCTCTGCTGCAGCTCAGTCGAGCAACTCTCTTCCATTGGGTGAGTATCTCTTCTGTCTCTAGAAGTAGAACTTGGTAACTTTATATCGCATACATAATTGTAGCTTGTGACTTTCAGCTTTGGTTAGTACGAACTGGATTTGTAGCGACATGGCATCTATGCTACTCGTCGGCTTTTTGCTACTCCTCTCAAACAACATTGGCAATGTAAGTCTACCTAATGAATACTTTCTTAACGCTATATACTTATAGTTTTAAATTATGCATTAAAATAATTTATTAGGTAATTAAATCATAATAAATTATTTTTCGATCGAAAGTTATACATTTTTTGTTTCTATTTGGAAATTTTGTAGATTAATTAACCTTGATAAATGTGCGGTAATAAATAATTATTAAGGTACAGGTTAGTGTGATTTGAGTATTCACGAATTTTTATTCTTTGAAATAAAAAAATAATTCTATTGTGGGACTAATGCATCCTAACAATACTAAGAGTTGGAAAATTATGCCCTTTTGTCCAGCTTGAAAAAGAGATACAAAAAGGTCCTTGCCAATTAACTGTTAATTGTATTCTCTATATCCCCACGTTTGATTATTAAATGAATTATCCATTTAACTATCCATCATTTCTATTCAATTCCTCAGAACAGATAATCATTTTTTTTAATGGTAGACGTTTTCATTGGATTTATTTGGCAATATAAAAATAAATGCCTATTTAAAGATATTTACTTTATAAGATTGATTATTTTTCTATTAATGAAAAAATAGAGAAAACATCAGGAAAGGATACAAATTTATCATTAGACAAAATAATGAAATGGATCTAGTAAACAATCCAATTTATTTTTAACAAAAGAAAAGAAGATTAATTCCATTAGTTAATTATTAATTTTGTAATTTGTTACACGAATTAAAATTAGTTTATTAATGAACCTCTAATTATGATTTACTAATTATCTATATATCTTAATATGTATATTCACATGGAAAAATAGGGGCGATGTAGAAAGATAACGATATAAGTCTTCTTTTTTTTAGAAAGTATAATGTATGTATATTATGCCTATACTATTTAAGAGAATTATATGTACTTATAATTAATATTTTTTAATTATAATAAATTCTTTTTTCATTTCGTTATCAGCATACGATATATCGATATAATGACATCGATTTATCAATTAAATAACTACATATGAATTTCTAATTATAAAAAAAGAAAACACTTTTAAATTACAATATTCTGGAATATATTTAGTTATTCAAAAACACTGTAAATTACTTATTAATTATATTCACCCGTCAAAAGCTTTTTGTATATTTGTCGAAGAAATGTTATTATAATACTGTTATGAGAACTTATTTTAATTATTCAATTTTAATTTGTTTTATGGCTTCCTATACTTTGAAAAACTGCGTGAAGGGTTCCAAATCAAATCAAGTTTAGCTTCAAAATCATTTTCAAAAGTATTTTTGACAAAATTATTATCCTTTCTTTTTTAAATAATTATCGTTGTTTCTGAAAAAAATAAATTGTTTTTCTAGATATAGAGTTTTAATTTAAAATTTGAACTTATTAAACTTTTATTTTTTTTAATGCCAAAAAGAGTACCAATATAAATTTTAGTATTCAGTGATATCTCTTATTTTCTGCTGTAATTAGCTAAAACTTATCTCCTTAAATTTTTGTAATCCAATTAAAATTAAATAGGTATAAAACAGTTAATTAATCATTAATAAATTGAACCATTATTTATCCTGTGTTTTAATAATTTTATCAATAAAACAATAATAAATGAATTTTATTAATTGACGTGATATTTAATACATTAAAGTTTCCGCACTTTCCACTTAAATGTGTCATATATTTTATCAATTATATTTCGAATAGGTGATGAGAAACGTAATAATAACTTTAATAAATTTACAATTTTAAATTATATTTTTTTTTTAATTTTTATAAGTTCAATAATTTTACGATTGTTAAGGTCCGTGCGATCCTCTCCTTTGAACAATTGAGCCCGATACTCCTTTTGGTTCGTATGATTTATATAAGTTTTTTTTTTTTAATTTTATACTCGGCAAAACAAGTTTAAAACATTGTATCATTTCAGGTTACCACAAAAGCTATCGAAGTATCAATGGTAGAAACCTACTTAAGCTGGCCTGGTCCTCTCGAACCGACAGAACTGAAGAATTTGGCGGAAACCGAGGAAAAGGACGGTTTGTTCCCGATCCATCGTGCCGCTGCCGAGGGAAGATTAGATGTTGTCGAGTACCTTCTTCACCTCGGGGTTAATATAAACATGAAGGATAACCGAGATGGATGGAGCGCTCTCCAGTGGGCATCCTCCAATGACACCCTTGACGTAGTAAAGCTACTGCTGGACAAAGGAGCTGATATCGAACTGAAGGACAAGAAAGAAAGGACTGCCCTCCACCAATCAGCCATTAACGGCACATTCGAAGTCATCAAGTTCTTGTTGATAAAGGGAGCTGAGATGGAGGCAAGAGATATCCATGGGGAGACGCCTTTATCTTTGTCCGCGGCAGAGGGCCACTACAATATAGTCAAGCTACTATTAGACAGGGGCGCAATCGTCGACACTAAGAGTTTCTCAAACAACACTCCTTTACACTGGGCAAGTGCCAACGGCCAGAAGGAAGTAGCTCATCTACTGATCGAACGGGGAGCCAGCTTGAACGTGAGGAACAACGACAACTTTCAACCTATCCATCTAGCTGTGGTTCATGGCCATTTGGACACAGTTAAGATGCTACTGGACAACGGCGCCAATATGGAAACAAAAACGCCAAACGACGCTAAGCTAATTCACTGGGCTGCGAGTTACGGTCAGGTGGTGATAGTAAAATACTTCTTAGATCGTGGAGAGCCGATCGACGTGAAGGGTGCCGACGGATTCACCCCGTTATTCTCCGCGACTGCACGAGGAAGGCTGGACGTGATGAAGCTGCTCTTGGAGAGAGGGGCTAATAAGGAGGCTATGAACGATGATCGTCAGAGACCCCTGCACTGGGCCGCTAGGTTCAACCAACCGCTGGCTGAGGCGCTGCTATTGGACAGTGGGTCCATCATTGAGCCTAAGGACATCAAGGGGCAGACCCCTCTGTACCTGGCGGCGGATGAGGCGAGCCTGGAGGCCATGCGTGTCTTGCTGGAGCGAGGGGTCAGTAAGGAGACGGCCAACAACGAGGGGTGGACCCCTCTTCACCAGGCGGCCAGCAACAACAAGGTGGAGGTGATGAAGCTGCTCATCGAAGGAGGCGCCAACGTCGAGGCCAGGGACAACGAGGGGCAGACTCCACTCCACCTGGCCGCCGCCAAAGGGAACAAGGAGGCCGTCGAACTGCTGCTGGAGAAGGGGGCGGATCCAGCCGCTAAAGACAAGGGAGGGAATACGCCTGTCCAGTTGGAGACCCAGCCTGAAGAAGTAAAACAGACATGAACGAGTAATACAGAAAATATAATGTAATACTCGGATATCTTTAATCAAATGACTATACATCTCCATCTATGGCTGGATTATTCTAACTTGTTATACAATAACATCACATAACGACTTGAATTTTTTTATTCAGTTGTAAAATTTATTGTTCATTGTTTTTCTATGATATCATTTGAATTTTAAATCTAGTCCTCTTTAGAATTACTTTTTTATTAAATTTATTTTTTAATTAATTAAATAATATAAGTTCTTTTATGTATATTATGTGCTGTGAGCAAGGTGATTAGCATTGTAAGAAGCTAAATTTGTGAGCGATTGGTGTTAATTTTTGTATTTATTTTATTTCTTGAAGGATCTTTTTTAATAGAAATATTTAATTTGTTATATAAATATTTTACTTTTATTATACCGGCTTCGTTGTATGATGCACATGTTTTTTATATTTATTTATATTATTTATGTATATGGTCTCAGTGTATTAAAATGAGATATTGCATTGTATTTTTTATCATTTATTTTCATGAACAAATTCAAGTAGAATAAATTTATATTAGGTATGTGTTTTAAAATTGCTTCAGCCTTCCAGTATGTTTTGGGTTGTTACCGAATATTCTTCAACACTCGGAAGTTTTAAATTATTAAAGATTTGATATTTTATCCATTATAATTTGTATTTACAAGTGTTAATTTATAAAAAAAATTGAGTTTCCGACATCAGATAGTTAAAAATAGAAAAAACAAACTTACTAATTAATAAAGATGTAACAAAGAAAATTATTTTTATTTCTTAATATTCAACATCATTTTCTTGGTTTATCAACGAAAATGCCTTCATTATATACTTATGAACTGTAAATTTGGCTAAAAATATTATTTATCCATAATATTATGGCGAAATAATGACGAAGTATAATATAGTGTACAAGTAGGTTTGGCCAGAATCATGTTCAAATAATAAGTAACAAATCAACAATTTGATTGAATTATTATTTATTTTAATTTAGGAGTTTCTTCAATATGAAGTTTTCCTCAACCAAATTCCTTCTTTGGCAATTCTCTCTTTCTCTGAGGGTCCATCGTATCCTTCTCCCACAATTTCCTACCAGCCATACTCTCCACCACTCTATTGTTCCATCTAACTGGTGGTTTTCCTCTCCTCCTTCTACCCTCTGTCTCCCAATCAAAAATTATCTTTGGCATTCTGCCACGCCCCCATTCGTCTAACATTCCATCAGAGTCTCCTTTCTTCCATTATTTATTTCCGATCTCTCCCTCATAGTGACGTTTTTTTTTGCCTTTCGATCCTTGATGTCCTAGCAGCTCTGACATAGGTTTTTTCCTCTTAACTCGACGCCCATTTTCCCACATTTCCTCATATATCCATAGAGGCATTCATCAAGATATATTTTAAATAGAGTGGGGGACATGTAGTATCCTTTTAGTAATCCTTTTCCGTTTTAGAATTTTTTGTGTAAATGTCTGTAATTAGGTTAACGATTCCTTGGTATATTCCACCCTTCCTTAACTATACCCATAGGAGTTTGCGTAGCACACTGTCATACGCCTTTTCCAAGTCAATGAAAATTACATCTATTCTTTTTGATTTGTCCATTAACTTTTCTAATAGCTGTCTCAGGATGAAAATGTTGTCAGAGGACCTTTCTGGTGTATATCCATATCGCCCCTATTTATTTTAATTTATTGTAAATGAAGTGTAAATGTTCTCTCTAAACACTATTATAAATGTCCTTAATTGTGACAGATTGCAATATTTCTTAATAAATAAGTTATAAAATAAGTCAATTCCGAGAATTCGAAGAAAAATAATTTTTAATATACATTATTGTATGTATGTATATGCATTTATATTTATATGTATGTATATATATATATATATATATATATATATATATATATATATATATATATATATATATATATATATATATATATATATATATATATATGTATATATATATAAATACACACATCGAGATTTAGGTGTATAGGGAGTTAGAGCGATATAATAACGAATATTATAAAAATGAATTTTATTTGCAAATTCTCAGAATTGACATATAAAGTTATAATTGATCAAACTTTTGAGATAAACTAGTTAAATAATATATATTTTTGAAGAAAATCAAATTATTAAAAACTTTCCTCACCATGACTTAATCATATAAATAAGCAATTTTTTTTTTTTTTTTTTGTACATTAGCGATAGTTGAGGACGGATATCTGGAAAACTAAGTGGGATAGCGAAAAAAGGTATGTAATCAATCATATTGAAAATTTTATAAGCTTTAATTTTGTATAGATTGCCATTGTCAATTAAATCTTCGATACTCACTCGGACTTAAAAAAAAAAGTTTATTTGGCAAAAAGTATACAATGAACAAAATATATATGTTACAACAACTACACTAACTATGGTATCTATCTACTATGAGTGACAATGTCTGACTACCTGCTAGGCGGGTAAGGGAGGGGTATTTATACAGAGTCAGGAGAAATATGCTGACTCTAGGGATATACCATTATTTGGCTACCTTAAGTCCTCCCTTCTGAAGTTCTCGAGCTCCGTGAGAGAAGAAGTGGATGAACAGTGTTGGCAGATGTAGATGGCTGGAGTACAAGTTCTTCCTTCGGACTTGATGTACTATCTACTTGCCTTTGTTGGCTAAGAATACTTGAGGGTTTAAACATTGTATAACAATTATAAAAGTTAACAAATAACAGATATAAAACAATAATAGTTAATGCTAGTAAATAATAATTAATGTTAAAATCATTTTCATAATTAGTATTAAGACTTTCAAACATTTCATTGCTGAAAGTAGGTATGTTTAGTTGATTAAAAGTTAAATTCAAATGTTTATAATCAGAAATTACATGAAATGAAGGCAATACCTCCGGAAATACATAATTATCTCTAGTATGGTTAACAATTTCTTCCTTATCACTTAATTTAATAATAGCTGTTTCTGGTAAAATTACTGGATAGGATGAATTATTTTGTATAGTAATATGTTTAATCTTAAAACTAACAAAAACATCAATGGTTTCTACATAAGATATATAAGGTTCTAAATTGCTAATAGTTGTGGTTAAACAATTACTTAAATTATTATGAATAGAATTATTTATACATGTATCATTAATTTTATAAATTTTATTACAATAATAATTAGTTTTTATAAAATCACACTCTCCTTTATACACTTCTGCGTTATTATATAATACCATTTGGTTATTTACAATAGTTGTTATAATATGATTATTCTTTCTGACTGGAACAGATAATAAATACAAAGTACTAAAAGTTTTAGCTTTAGTAGGTAACTGTATCATATAATGGATAATATTATTTTTAATCATACAAGATATTTTACTTGTAAGCCATAATGTCTCAAGATCAGAGCTAACAAATTCTGAATTATTATTTATATCAATATTTTTTAAAATACTGGAATGTGTTATTCCAAGTTTACACATTTCTAATGAATTTTCAATGTCCATGATTACAATAGTGATATAATTTAGAATGTCGTATAATTCATTTAAGTGGTTTGTTAATGTGGTCTTGTCGACAGTATTTATTAAATTGGCTAATTTATTACTATTAGTATTAATTAATCTAATGTCTTTTTGAAACGTTTTTACTAAATCTTTATTAATTTGAATTTCTTGAGCTATATTGTGTTCCATACGATAGTTGTTTGCTTCTAGAGTAGTAATGACCTTATCATAATGCGCCTTGTCATCAGAGTCTAGGTTTCCAGTAAGCCAGTTGATTGCACTTCCTATGCCGTTTATCAGGCCTCTTTTTCTTCTATTACGTGGAGCATCAATAATATAATCAACTTTATCTTTTAGAAATATTAATTGTTTGGAAATTAAATCATATTGGCTATGTTGCTTAAAATTACTTAAATCTCTTTCTAATACGGATATTTCATTTATGAAATTAGAAAAATTTAAATAATGTATGATTGTTTTGTATTTTTGTATTACCTTGGAATCAGATAATTTAAACGTAACCAGTCCTGAAGAATGTTCTGGATTGATTATTTCATATTGTCGCGATGTCTGAATCATCAGAATCAATATCCATAACATCTTCATCATCTGGAATATGATATTTTCTTTTAGTTTTTCGTTTTCTTTGGATATTATCTGCATGCACCTTAAGGTTTTTATTTTTATTCTTAAATTTATACACTTGTCTAAATGGATTTTCATGTTTAGTTCTAGTTCTAACCTTTATATAAGGTTCATCTTCAATTACTTCATTTTCTCTGTCCTTATTTAAGGATTCAGTTCTTACTTCTTTTTCTTTTTCAATTTTATTCTTTATTTGCTCATGAACTAAATTTAATTCTGTATGATATTGATTGATTAAGTCTTCGTGAATGATTGATAATTTCTTTTCAGGGTCTTTTATAGCACCAAAGGTGATTTCATTTGGCGATAATTTCAGTTTTTGATTTAAAGAATTATTATAAGTGATCAGGGCTAAATTCAAATTTGGGTTTAAATCTCGTTTTTCATCATTATTTTTGTAAGTTCTAATGATTTCTATCAATGTAGAATGAGCTCTGTTCATGAGTCCAAGAGAATTAGGATGATTAGGAGTTGTATAATAAGCTTGGATTCCTAAGCTTTCTAATAAGTTTTGAACTAAGTTGTTTTTATATTCTTTTCCATTGTCCATTTTTATTCTTATTGGATTTGGGAATAAACTTAAATATTTTGTAATTATTTTAAATATATTAATAGCATTACATGCTGTGGTGAGTTCAGCATACATTTTTTTTGAAAAAGTATCTATAATAGTTACAATATACTTCTGCTCGAAGTGTAGAGTATCTATCATCAACTCCTCGAATGGTCTCAGAGGTGTTGGTGTTACTTGAAATTTTGATTTGATAGGTTTCCTATCATATTTAGTCTTTCTGCAGATATTACATAAATTTATAAACTGGTTAATTTCTTCTTTCATCCTAGGAAAATAATAAGTCCTTTTCATTTTTTCGAAAGTTTCTAAAACTCCTCTGTGGAATGATTTACCTGTATGATAATTATTTATCAATTCTGTTTGTTCTTCTTTTGTTTCTACATTTAACACTTTGGTTTTATACCTTTTAAATTTGACATTAGGGAATTTCTCCATAATTATTGAAGATATCTTTAGGAATATTCCTTCATAATCACTTCTAACCGTTTCTACGTTAGGTTCACAATAGACTCCATAAATTTTGTTCGGTTTTAGTATTTCAATTAAAGATTCTTCTAAGTCATTACTCCAAGGGTATGCGGTTTCTATAAAATATATATGTTTACCGAATGTTTTTTCTAGTCGTATTTGTTTTTTTCCTCTTTGGAAAAAAATTTGATTTTTTTCTATGTTTATCGGTTTTGATTCATCAACAATAAATATTTGTTCATTACTGCTTTCTTGAGAATGTTGGGTATTTAAACTTTCATTATCGAAGTTTTGATTATTTAATTCATTTTCTAATTGAGCATTATTATTTTCTAAGTCAATGATATTTTCTTCTTCTAATTCCATGTTGTTGTCTTCTAACATATTTTCATAAAAATCAAAAACATCCGGAGATGTCAATGGCATTTCAGAGGTTTCTCTGAGTATTCTATCAAGTTGCAATGCTGAATCTTCATCTAAATCAAGATTTGTCATTGCGTTAATCGTTATTCTGCTGAGAGCGTCTGCAACGAAGTTAGTTTTGCCTTCAATATACTTTATTT